GCACACTCTCATCCTCCCCCTGCCGACCGCAACAAGACCCCCACGCCAGGCTCCTCCCCGCCCCGCCCCGCCTCCCTCGACGACGACCCAAACGCCCCCCCACCCGACGCCTCTCCCGGCTATTTCCCCTCAGGTGAGCCCGTCGTCTCTCCCCCACGTGGCGGCGTCTACTCCCCACTGGTTACCGGAGTTTAAATCCCACGCGATGGCCAGACTCTTCGTTCAACTCGTTCTTCTCGCCCTTCTTTTCCATTGCCCTCGTCGTTGGCAGGTCTTCTTGCCAGTCGACGACCGAAAAATACACTCCTTGTTCTCCCCCGTCCCGTCCTTACTCCCTCCTTTTTTTTTTCTCCCCCTCCTCGCCATGTCATTTCTCATCACCGCGTGACTTCCTCTCCCATTATCTCTTTTGCATCGACGCCATTTTTTCGTACGAGTCCATCCTTCCTATTCATTTCATTGCCACTAACATCCTTCCTCCTCAGCCGTGCATGATCTCCCCCCGCAAATTCCGTCCCCATCAGTCCTCCATACCGGCAGGTTCCAGAACGATCCAGAACGATTCTTCCCTCCTTACCCTCCTCTTTATATGTCGGGTAATGCCAGCAGAAACAGGCCGCCCAATATGGCAGACTCCAGATCGTCCGCTTCTTCCGACTCAGCTTCCCGCGCTCGCTCCCTTTCCCAGTCCACAAACCCCTCTCGCCGGCCCCGCATTCCGTTCCAGGCTCCCCCCCACCCATCACCCCTGTACCATCCTTCTAACCCCTTCGATACCACCCCCTCCCCCTCCGCTCCCTCTCCCACCTTCCAGCCTCTCCCACCCTCTTACCAGGCCAATTCCCTCCCATACGGGCACCGTTCCGGCTTCATAGGACAATACACGATGTCCCCACAGCCCCAAGTCAACATGCCTCAGTACGCCTACCCTCACCACCCCGGCCTGCATGCCCTAGACACGAACATGCACCCACCGCAAAATCAGCTCATCGGCTACTCTCCAAACTCACTCATCCCCATAATCCATCCCCACTCACCCGTATACCAAGGCTATCCAGGCCATTCCGACGGAAACACCTCCGCCCACTCCTTCTCCGCAAATCCTGCTTTTGCCGCCCATTCTCACCCTCACTCCCCCGCCGCCCATCCCTCCCCGCCTCCCCGCTCTCCTTTATCCCATCAGCAGCCTTCTGGCGCACACACCCACGCGGCCGCATATGCTGGTCAAGCGCCCTACTCCCCCCTCCGCTACTCTACACCGCCCTTCGTCTACCCTCCACACTCGTTTGCTCATTCTCCCTCCATGTACCCGTCCCAATACCCTTCGCCGTACGCTCCGCACTCGTACACACCAGAGGCATCTCAGGACGGTCAGGGCACCTGGTGGTACGTCCCTCCGCCTACCCGCCCCGCCTCCAGCCAGTACGATTCGTACCAACATTCGTACCAGTTGTCGTACAATATGCCTTCGCGCGACATAGATTCATACTCCCAGCCTGGCCAATCCTCCACCCAATCGCACCTCTTCCCCATGTCCCCTCGCCCAAATCAGGGGCAGCATCCCTCATCGCAGTCCGCACCCCCATCTGCGCCGCCACCTTTACCCTCGCCCGGCAGTCCTCCGTCCACCGCCTCGCTTGTGGTGCGGCAAAATCCAAAAGAAGCGACCCCATCTAATAGTAGTCGCTCTGTGGCAGATCCTCAGCGCAATTCACGTCGCGTACAGCATCAACTTAACTCTCCCGCTCAGCGCTCAGAATGGGTCATGTGGATCGGCAACGTCCCGTCTGACGCATCGCACGACGAGCTCTGGCGCTTCCTTAATCAGTTGCCGTCCCCTAGTGCTGCGTCTCCCGCTAGCTCGAACGCGGAGGATCCATGGGGCGGCGTATTGTCAATCTTCCTCATCTCCCGCTCAAATTGTGCGTTTGTGAACCTTCAAAGCGAGGCGCATTTGCAAAGTGCGATCCGCCACTTCAACGGAAAACCCCTCCGCCCGGGAGACCCGCGCTGCCCACGGCTCGTGTGTCGATTGCGCGGACGTGAGGACGACGTCAAGGCGGGCGTCGGCGGGCAGCGCGGCGTAGGCTTGCATGTGGGCTGGATCCGGGACCAGAGAGAGAAGGCGCGTGCACAGCCCGTGGCCAAGCAGGACGACCTGCGTTCGCCCGCGGGGACGGCGTCTTCGGAGCACGTCACTACGCCGAGCAGTTCCACAAGCGAGGTCGCGCCCGCGTTGAGCCTGAACCTGTCGAGTGACGACGAGAGCGGACGCAGACGCCACCGGTTCCGCCGCCCCGCCCCACATTCTAGCAGCTCGGGCTCGTATGCGAGCACGAACTCGAGCATATTGACGCAGTATTTCCCGAAGCGCTATTTTATCCTCAAGTCGCTGACACAGGTGAGTGCAGATCGATGTGTGTTGCGATTGGGTGGCGCATACTGACTTGGGTCCCCTGCAGAAAGACTTGGACATTAGCGTAGAGAAGGGGCTGTGGGCGACGCAGCGGCACAACGAGACGACGCTTGATCAGGCGTTTCGCACGAGCAAGGACGTGTATCTCATCTTTGGCGTGAACAAGAGCGGGGAGTTTTACGGATATGCGAAGTAAGCAAATACATAATAGTTTACATCAGTTGTACGGCAGATACTGATGCGCTACTTCTGTCCAGGATGATTGGTCCGGTCCTTCGCGGGGAACACCGTGTGTCGTGGGCCTCGCGCACCGATTCGCCGCCACGCCGGACGCCGCGCTCCTCGCAGGGCTCTAGTCCGCCCGTGACGCGTCGTGATCGTGACCCGCATCCATTCTTTTCGCCAACCGAGCACAGATACGAAGAGTCGCCCCAACCGTTCTCGCCCGACCGGCCGCTGTCGTTTTCCACGTCGCCCTCGCCGTCCCGTGCGAAGCAGCCAACCATGCTGCCCTCACCCGTGCAGTCGGCTGGCGCCTCTGCGCCGCATGCTACCGCAGAGGGACAACAGGATGCACCCATTGCGTTGTCCGCGCCGCCCGAGATGCACCAGCCGCATCGCCAGCTCTCGCGCCCGACCATCCCGATGTTGCGCCCCGCACAGAGCACGCTGGGCGGCCAGAAAGTCACGCCGCAATCGCATTCCCTCAGCGTCCCGCAGCCATCGATCGAGCTAGATCCTACCGCTCCCTTTCGGCACCGGCGCGACCATTCGGCGCCGCCAGAGTCGACGGCGGCGGAGACCGCGCCAGCGGAGGTCGACTGGGACGCCGTGCCAGAAGCGCCGCTGCACACCGTTACAGAAGAGGAAGAGCGGCCGGGGTCGGGACGGGACGCATCACCGCGCGTGGATGGTGGGGAGGTGCGTGGGGACGGCGAGGAGGCGCGTGAGGGACCCTCGTGGGGCGAGCCGTTCCAGGTGCAGTGGATTCGGACGGAGCGCTTGCCGTTCTTCCGCACGCGCCACCTGCGCAATCCGTGGAACCATGACCGCGAGGTGAAGGTATCGCGCGACGGGACAGAGCTCGAGCCCACGGTGGGCCAGGCGCTCTTGGATGAGTGGGACCGCCCCGCGCCGCCGCTGACGCCTGCGACGGAGCGGCGACTGGGGTCGCGCACGCCCGCGCAGGACGGAGCGGGGCTCGTGACGCCGATGATGGAGCGGGCGGAGGGGGAGTGAGAGGAATGGACAGAGACGGATGGATGGTTGGATATGAAGAAGATGCATAGAAGGAAGACATGGCCTGCCTGGCCACAACTATTCACGAAACGCCGCTTACTCGCCGCAAATCACGCACCGCACGCACGCACACACACGAACGCGGGATGCACCGCCATGATACAGGTACTCTACTAAAACGCTTACACTACACGCGACCCCGCGCACCGTCATGCACGACACGGCGCGCGGGGCATTTGTTCGCTTTGTTTTTTTCCCTCTCTCTCGTTTTGGGCACAACGTCTCGCACGCTCTTCGTCGGCTGCTGTTTACTATCTACCGGGTCCATTTGGTTGTTGGGTTCTGGTTCTATTTTTTGCTTACGCGCTGTCCTTTCCGCCGCTCGTCGTCGCACCGCCCGCCGCTGCTTCATTTTCTTTTTTATCTTCCCCCGTCGCGCCGTCACCCACCACTAAGAGACTGTCGACACAGGCACATGTAGCAATAGGTAGACTTTTCCCGTCCGCACGCATCTGTAACACCTCGCATTATGGCTCTATACACGCGCGCCGTCGTGCGCTGGGTTTGGACGAACGGCCGTGCGCCCTGCGTGCTGCAGTGCGCCTGGCCTGTCTGAACTCCGCCGCGTCCGAGAGGGCCGCTCGCCCTCGCCTTGGCAGGGCTCGAGGAGGCCCCGGCCCCCGTGGCGTGGGCGGCGCATCGCGGGCCCGGACAGGAGCTCAGGAGCGCGAGAGCGCCCGTGCCGGCCGTGCCACGCCCGTGCGTCGGGGTGGCGCACGGAGGCGGCAGTGGCGGGCTCGGGCATCTCGGGGGGCGTTGGCTTTAGATTCGCCGATCGGAGAAGGTACGAGTGCCGAGGCTAGCGCCGCGCGCGGCGCGATCGGGGATTTTGGCCGCGCGGCGCGTCCTCACAGATAAAATAGAGTAGACTAGTCCGATTGATTGAATTCAGTAGCGAGGCAGCCGTGCCGACTCTATACCGGGCAGGCAATGTGTACGTGTAAATTACATCGGCAAAAGGTCGTGGGGCGCCCCGCCGTGCGGGCGGACGCGCGTGTAAGTATGTATGTGCGTGGAATGTAATAATCAGCGTAAGAAATGCAAGTTGGGGGAAGGGGAAAGCGTGAAGAGATTACCCCGTCCGTCTAGTTCGGGTATACACAGCAGCATACGTAGTTGAGTTGATAACGAGTAACAGTGCAGGAATAGAAATCTAAGGCGTCCCTGGGTGGGCTCCTGTCGTCGCGCTCGCTTGTCGAGAAGGACGAAAGGTAGAACCCTGTAGGGGGGGGAGAGAAGTCGATCATGATGTCTCGTTAGATGGGAAGCGAGGAAAGCTATTCGGGAGGACGGCGGAAAAGCATCCGTGCGCAAAGCTGCGACTGTCGTCTAAACGGATATTGTCAAGGCCATGGTATGGAGGAAGAATGCTGCTACGATGGAAAGTAACAATGCCTGCCATGACGGCGTCGACCATGCTAGCCGTGCGCTCCTGGAGATAACTGACTCAGTGGGCTGTGCACGGGCGCTCTGATTAGTGACGTACGATGACTGCGGTTGATCCACGATCTTCACCGTCAGCACGGCCAGCCAGCCATCGACCGCGTTCGTCTGGGCGTTTCCAACGGATAGGTTGTGGTTGACGCCGTAGCTCGTGTTTGGCAGAAAGCCCGAGTAATACTTCGCGGTAGTCTGATACGTGTACCCGCCGTACGCAGTCTTCCCGGTGTACTCAGAGCTGTTAGTTAGCAGAGTGCTGTTGATGATCTGCGTTTGATTCGTCACGTTGCCCACAAGCCAATCTCTACACGAACCATGAGAACAGCTGACAGTCGCGATGCATGGAAACGTACCTTCCAAGATTGTAGCTGACATCGCGACACCGTGAGTAAGGGAATGCGACGATAGACAGGCGCGGTACTCACCCATTAAAGATGATATTGTGCTGATCTTCAACAGTCTCAGTATCACGAAGCGCAGACACAGTCAGAAGACCTACCGGTTTCGGGCAGCTCGTACGATGAAGCCATGAAGACAGCATTACTAACAATGTAGCACCATTATTCACACCTGCCACTGGATGACAGACCATGAAATGACACACCTGTCTGCTTGGCTACCGTCCTGAGACCAGTACCGGAAGTGGCTACCTCCCTCAATCGTCTCCTCGCACGTGCCCAATTCTGGGTTGCCGTAATCCCATCGTATCTCAGCCGTTTGGTTCACTTTGTGCAGAGTAAGGCTATGCTGTGTTTCATCTACATTGAAGACGTCGACACACCGAAATTCAGCCCGTCGCCGAGATTGGCAGCCTGGGGTGCACCCTGGTGTTGACCCAAGCACTCTGTTGAGTATCCGAAGGAGCTGGTGCAGTGAGCGCCGACCGTCAGGGCGTTCGGGCCGCGGTCGAAAAACGTTAACAGGACTCACATGAAATAGTTGAGCAGCCCGCCATTTATCTCCTGGTTCTGAAGCACGGCGGTATCAGAGTCCCCTGAGATTACAACATTAATTGGCTCGCCCTGCCCCGGCGGGTAGGTGTCTTGCACTTGCTGGCGACCGGAGCGCGCGTTCAGCACGCGCGATGAGAGGTCAGTGTTGCGTTACACACCGTGAGCCATTGACCACCGTTACTTGTGGGGTTGTAGAAACCAACAGAAGGGACACTGCTGCGACGCCAGAACGGAGTGGGCGGTGCACCTCGCGCGTGCAGATGTTCGTCAGGAGCGGCGTAGACGTAAGAAAACAGAGAGGGACAGAGCATAAGGAAAAGCCAAGCTGATGTGGACGCCATGCTGGGTGTCAATACTCTAGCAGGGAATGAAAGAGAGGGAATGAATGAAAGCAGAGGTAAGGGGAGAGACGGACTTGAAGAGAGTGGGTGGGATGGGATGGTTCTAAATCGGGAAACCGTACAGCGGCCGCTTATGCGATCTCGGCCTCGGGAAACGGGGCACATCTTTCCCGTGGGTGCGTGGGTTGAGTTCGAATTTCTCACTGTCTATTCTCGCTCGGAAGGCCTTGTTGGGCATCGTTGGCTGTGCTGGCGCTGCATTGGTGAACGTGCGCCAGCGACGCAACGACAACGAGGCCATTGTGCTCAAACTGCGCTCTCTTGCCGCCCAACGCCACCAGGTTGCTGTTCTATTATCAGCCCAGCTGCACTGCGCGCAACCCACTCAATACGAGGCATAAACACGCTCCTCTGACGTCTGACTATAGAGCAAATCCTCAGCGAAGCCCTTTCGTTCGAATGCTATCTCATGAGCGACGTCCCTGGGTGAGTGGAAGTTTTTGACAGCATGTCGACACCTACCTCTAGGTAAGCATGGAGACAACTGAGCGCGCGTGCCGCATTGTTTTCATTCTACAGTATTCATGCTCGGGCCCGCAATATTTTGGATTCCGACACTTTGCACACACCCCTTATAAGACGCATTTTTCATGACCGCAAAACTGATGACACTTGTATGTAAGGAACATAAATAGCGACAGTGTGTTAGGAATAAACATTGCAATCCCTTGACTATACTAGATGATAACTCGGGTGCTTTGGTGTCCCGACAAGTTGTTTGTAGCTTGGAGACGCACAGCTACAATAGCATGAACTGGTGAGTTCGCATCCACATTGTGCGCTTGCTCGTCTTTTGTAGATTATCCGTGGGCTGGCAGCGAATCGCAGGGATGGCTGTCAGTGGGTATTGGGCCAGACCCGAGACCGCTATGGCGCACAAACGTCCCACCTGCAGCGGATGCCGCACCCAATGGGTGTCTGCTACGTTTGTCACTCCGCAGCAGACTTCCCAGCGATATCGCAGTGAGCACGACAACGGGCGGAAGGTGTAACTGACGGATTAAGCTCACAGCAAAATAATCAAACCCATGTGAACATTGTTCCGTCCAATTGTACCTTTTTAGGCATTCGAACATCGTAATCCATGAAGACAATGGACTGTCAGCCCTTTACGTTATGAATGCCGCCAAAGAGGCTACGCAGCACAATATATTATTCATAAGTCATGCATGCCTGCACTAGATATCAACATTGAAGGCTTGATTGATTGTGCGAAAGAACATGTATATGCTGTCAGAGCCGCGTACTTAGTGTCTAGGCGCATGAACAAGCACATATGAGACACGTAACACTCCGAATGACACCTACTCTTAGACCCATGGGCCATCAAAATCTGACCACAATCAATGAGACCGTGGACGCTTGTCCTGGGTGGAAGCAGATCAAAGTACGGTTGAATGGGGGTTAGAAAGATATGCCAGTGGGCCGATCACGATGATCGAAGGCTAAACGGGGACCAAGATATTCATGAACGAGGATACATATTTGTAGATAGACGGCAGTACCGAAGTCTGGGGACTACCCGATGCCTCCCGTGGCCAAGAGACAAGAAAGGGCATCGTGGGATTACTGTGTGCATATAGCGAAGAGTCGTCAAGACGAGAACAAGAGATCAAATCTACCAGATCGTTTGAAACTAGAAGACCTTGCTGAGGTGTAGGGACGTTTATCAGCACCTACATTCACATTTACCTGGCAGTCGAGAGTCGTAGTGCACTTCATATACTCTAGGCTGCGACAGAGCGACAGCGCGGGAAGAAAGCGCAAGGCAGCAGGCTGCAGCGCCCTAGAAACGAGGCAGGGACGTGGACACTGATATCCGGCGCCGCGTTCGTCTCTTCGCACCACCTCCCCGGCTGCTCTCGCCGCCGAAGACGACGACGACAGCGCCGTCGTTTTCTTCGTTCTCGCCGTCCATCTTCTTTTGATGGTTTTTACTAGCAGAATTTCTTCCAATGCCCCCGCGCCCCCCGCTGGCAGCCAGGTCGCGTCCTTTGTCGGCAATTTACATTGGTTCAGGTTCTACTCCGACCGCCTCACCCCCCACCATTCCCGATCTTCCTGAACCACCCAGTCCCTCGACATCTATCGCGTCTGGTCTGCCTTCACCGCCCGCAACCAACTCTACAGGCAGCGGGAGCATTGACGACGACAACAACAGCAACGACGCCGGCAGTCTCCGTCAGCGGACCCCGGCTCGTTCAAACACCATCTCATATATGGCCAACGGCAACTATGATAGGCCTCACAGCACATCATGGAGCAGACAGCAGTATACAGACGATGAGGATGAGGGAAACGACAACGAAAACGAGGAAGACAACACGGCGAGATTATCCGATGGGAGGAGAGCACCGAAAGCTACCCCGCAGGATAATCTTTCTGCGCTACAACGGGTGAAAAACCTGACGCAGCGCAATCGTATGGTGAGTGCTGAGTTTGCTTGCAGAGCCAGGACTGGACTAAATGCTGGTCTTGGATGTTCCTCATATCTGACTCGCCTGGCGCCTCGTTTGATTTACTGATATCATCGCTTCTCCTCCAATTCAACGCCCAACGGCGCTCATATCCGCTTGAAAATTTGTCTCTGCCTTGCTGCCGACTGCTGGGCTTCTGCTTGAATCTTGGCCCTCTCGCATATGGTTTTCCTACGGCATATACTCCATCTCCTCTCTCATCAATGGAATTCTCTGTCTGCTTTTGCAATACCCTCGCTCGTAGGTTCTCGATAAACTTACTTCTATTTCAAGGTTGAACTCTCCAGTACCATCGAATGCCTCTCGCTCGCCCCTTTCACCGCCCTCAGCACTTAGTTCGTCTTCGTCTTCGTCTCGGGTTTCTTCGTCCCACCCCCGTCCGCAGTCTGCATCCAACCCCTTGCCTACCAACACTCGCAGTAGTCTTGATCCGTCGCATTCTGGTTCTGAAACAGAGCGCGAAAGTCAGCATATATCCAGTCATTCATACCCGTCGTCAGACGACCTGTCCGCCACGCCGCCCTCAAACTATTATGACTTCCGAGCACCTCCACCAATCAGAGAACGACGTATATCTGCGCCCGCATCACCAGCAAAAGCTGGCCGATCACCGCGTGACAGAGACCGAGGACCTTCCCCTGGGCCATCCCGCACGCCCCGGAAGAGGGTATCCATGGCTATGTCAGTAGACGAAGGGTATAGGAATGTGCAACAGGAGGATGAACTTGATGTTACAACGGCAGCTCTCGCCGCTGTTGCCTCATCGCGAAGGAGTCCCACAGGTAGTGGGGGGAAAAGGAACAGGCAGCCATTGCCTAGAGAATTCAGAGAAAAGGAAACGAGGAGCCCGGAGGAAAAGGTAAGAGGACTGACGCCCTTGTCTGGAAATTTTGCTTACTGTGTTCGCCTAGCCCAACGGCGAACCATCAACACCGCACCGACAACGACACCGAAATGGTCGCTCTTCGCCTTCCTCTCCAGGAACTTCCAGGTCGAACTTCCCAAATACCGTGCAGACGTCCCCACGCCGTCCAGGAGCATCTCGGTACTCGACCGTACGTGATTTGACGAGAAAACATCAGACGAGGTGGCTTTCCGAGGATTTGTCTGGCGACGTAGAAGGGGACACTTCTCAGCGGGATGCTAATAATGCCAACGCAGGGAGACGGCAAGGACACCGGGGCGGGAGCTCGGATGGTCTACTCATGCTGACAAATGGGCGCAGTCTTGTCGGGGAAGGTCTGCGTGCTGCAGGTCTTACCAAGCGGCGTGAGGAAGATCCCTTCACTAGTGGTGGTGCCCCAGCGTCGCCGCGACGAACCAAGTCTACTGGCAATTCGTCAGTTATACAAGAAGATTGGGAGCTGGCACCAGCCAGAAACGCAGGCTACAACACACGCATCAGTGAAGGCGTTGGTCCCCCAGTTGGGCGAGATTACGATCCACGTACACCTATTAACAACCTGCACAGACGTTCCGAACGCGCTAACAATAGCGCTGGTCAATTAGCGCGCCCTGGGACGTCTATGGCAGCGTTGCATCACGATAGTCCCGACAACGTACCTCCAAGGACTGCGCCAGCTGCACTGCGTCAATATAAGTCAACATACGCTCTGGCTGACCGCGATCGTAATACGTTTCAACAGGAATTTGGGCAGGCTATTCCCGATCGCGCCTATTCATCACCATTTGCCAACGGAAGATCCGCGTCCACAGCCCTACCTCCGGGTGCGTCGCCTGGAATGGGACGAGATTCCAACACTGAGCATCGTCGGCTGATGCTGGAGGCCTTGACTATGTTTGAGTCGCACCTTTCTCGCCTTCCTCCAATGGGACAGACGACGACAACGACCATTCCTGAGTTATTCCAGAGCGCCCAACACCTTGTCCACGCATTGGATAGACTGAACGGGATGTTGAAGGTCGGTACCAATAAAGCACTCGAAGCTCAAATCGAGGCCGAGGTCGCAGACACCGGAGAAGGAGTAGATCTCGTCGACCTATGGCGATCGATCGGCGCAGAGCATCGAGAAAGCCTCCGGGTTAGCGACGAGGTTGTTCGCAATATGACTGGTTTCTTGCTTGGCGTCGGAAAAGTCCTGCGAGAGTCAAACATTGCAAACGGCCAACAACAGCATCTCAGAACGATGAGCCTTGATGAAGAAGTCGCGCGGAGAGCTACACCGGATATTGTACCTGTTGCCAATAGCAGAGTATCGGATGGCAGGAAAAGCCGAGAGACGAGGCGTAGCTGGGATCCACGGGATGCTCGTGAGTCGGTCGTCCGGATGTCAAGTCGAGAGGCAAGCCGCGCTCGACCTGGCTCATCCCTTAATCTATTGAGAGGCTCGGCAACGTCCAGCAGTGAGGGCAGGAGCGTGGCCGATGCAGTCGGAGAGCAAACCCCGCAGACAGTGCGAAACGTCTCTTCGCTTGCACAATCGTCTTCAATACGTCGCATGTACATCACGCGAGAATCGAGGGCTACACCTGACGTTTTGCCATCTCTTACGACTAAATTTGATTACCAAGACTCTCCTGGAAACCATGAACCTTCCCCAACGCCAACTTCTCGGACCTCCCATTCGGCGTTGTCGGAGCGACCTCGCAACTTCCCCCCACTTGCAGTGCCACCAACACTGTCAACACTTCCATCTGAATCAATCATTAATCACAATAACACTTCACCATCCGAATCAGTGACACGCCGCAAGGTTTCAAGTAATTCTAATATCACCGTGCGCGCGGAGCAGTCTACTTTCAATTCTGTAATCAAACCCCCAAACGCTACGACTGCCCTCACACCGCATACGGTGTCGATGCTCAACTCGCCTGCTCAAATTACACAAGCGCTTCCATCTCCTCTCAGTCGCAGCGAGTCGTCTAGCTCTGCGCGGACGAACGGCGTCACCTTCTCGCGCCCATCGACTATCTCGTTGTCGGCGCTCAACGGTGTCCAGGAACGAGACGAGCGCAGCGCGCGCCTGCGCGTTGTCACGACGTCGTCGTCTGGGAAGAGCGACAATGAGCGTGAGCGTAGGCCAAACCCCATCACCAAGCTTGCCCCTGCAGCGGTGATCTCCCCCATGTCGGGCTCAGAGACGGAGCGCCCAGAGAGCTGGCGACGGACGATCGGCGCGCGACCGCGGATCTCGTTGGACAGTACTCGGGAGGCGGAGGGCGCGGTCGAGGTGCGTAGTGCGAGTCGCAACGCGACAATCTCGGCCACGCGCAAGGAACGCCGGCGGACGATTACGGAGATCTTCCAGCGGTAGCATGGAGGATGACTTGTTCGGTTTCTCTGGGTGAGTGTCCATCTATCGTGGACGCGGGTTCGAGATCTAATTGATGTGGACATTGCAGTCTGTTGATCGGATCGTGCATGTTGATATGCGTTCTCTCACGGGCATCACGCGTATGCCATCCCATCGTTAGTCGTATATTTCTTTTTTCTTTTCTGCGAGCGGACAGATCTTGTCGTCATTCGTATATGCTTCGTCCTCGCCTCCCCATTTCTTGCCCCAACCTGTACACATATGCGCAAGGCAGTGTACATAGGTACTCCCCTTCTTCTGTCTCCCAAGTTCCTCGGTCTGTCCGGCTCGCTCTGGTCTCATAATCTTTTCCCCTCTCTCTGTCAGTCCCAAAACCCCTGTCTCAGTAGCACCCAGTCTCACGCACGTATGTTTATGGGCCCATGCCACCCACACGATATGACGAGTCGCCCCCGAGTACGTTTTGCTAATTAAGTTATAGCAATGTAATGGGATCGACGCAGTCGCTACGAAATCAATACGACGAACAGCTCGGCGTGAGGTTCGAAGTTAATGTTACTACTACTAACTATAATGTCGTAAACTACACCCTTGATCTCCATATGACTAAATAATACAGCTCGGTATCTGTGTGAGCGTGAAGTGAGAAATTGATGCAGTGCCGGGTGATATCGGACGCCGCCCATGCACAAGTATAATTGCCTAAAAGGGAAGGTGTATGCCCGAAAAGGGCAAGTGGGGCGCCTGGGATGACAGGATGCATCGAGCCTCGAGGTGAGGATTAAATAGATGGGGCTGACATGTCCGCCGGAGGAGGCGGTCGACAGATGCGGATAAGGGCGGTGCGGATGCGGTACATTGGACGAGAAGACGATGAGAAGAATTTCACTCCGAGGACGGGCTCTCTTTGCTTCGGGCGCATCTCGTGTTAGCACTAAGCTGGCCTTCGAAGAATCAGTCATCATTCTTCCATCCCAGATGGTGCGCCTGCATGCGGCCCATCAGAGCAAGGCGTGGGCGTGGACGTGGATGGGATGGGATGGGAAGGAGTTGGATGATGATGCTGTGAGAGCCCGGAAGAGATGGACTGCGCGAGGTGGGACGGGAGGGCGAGACCGCGGTGGCGCACGGGAGGAGGCGGGAGTTCCGGGGTCCGGATAAGCGGGCGTAGTGGGAAGAAGGTTTCGGCGTCTGTGCCTCCCAAAACAGTCAATCAACGCCACGCCGAGCGCGGTGTCAAGGATTTCTCCAGCCCCCGAGTCGTCGCATTCTTCCGCCCGCCCGCGCCCTGTCCTCCTCCGCGCGGACTCGTCGCGGGCGTCGGACGGGCAGAGGAGGCACCGCGCGGCTGTATTTTGTGTGTATTTTAGACAGAGGTGTATGTTGCGAGCGAAAGAAGCATATGATCTGCGTGATTGGGACGGGGAGCTGACTAGCGTTTCAATGTGGGATTTATATCGGACCAAACAGGTGGCGACGGTCGCTTCGCCCTGGCTACACCCCCCTGGACCCCAGCTCCTCCATCCCTCTTCTCCTCCTCCCTCCTCTTCTCTCCTCCCGCCATGAGTCGTGCCAGCAGATCCCACATGGGCCCTCCCCCAAACATAGGCCCTCCGCAGGACGTCGTCATGGGCCCGCCCCCTTTGCCCCCTCAGCCTGCCCAGCCTTCCCCTCAAAAGCCTCGCGAGTCTCAGGAAGTGTCTGAAAAGTACAGGAGACTCAAGAGAAAGTATTTCGAGCTCGAAGAGGTCTGTGATCTCCTAGATGATGATCCGCACTCGACAAATCGGCTAGCTGACCCTTCATCACATTCCCTTTCACCCCGCAGAAACACAAGGAGAGTCTCATCCAGCTGCGAAACTCCGGCGAGCGCAATGTCAAGTGGAGGGCAGAACGCGCGTGAGCATCCGTTCGTTCATGGGTGACCACACAGTCTGACCAGCGACTCCCAGCATGCTCCTTGACCGTATTGCAGAACTCGAGACCAGCCCCCAGTACAATCCCGGCGCGCCCATCCCTGCGCCCCCTTTCACTGCCTTTCCCCGTTCATTGCTCTCCGTCAACAGCCAAAAACATTTCGTCAACAACCTCAGACAGGCCATCGACGAGCTCGACCGTGAAGACCCTGACGTTGACCCCTTCGTTCTCTCTCGACATATTGGCCCCGAAGCACGCAAACGTCAAGAAGCAGAGATAAAAGAGAGGCAGGAGGAGGAAGCTAGGGAGGCCAGGAGAGCTTCAAGGAGACCTCGCGCGTCTCAGAAGGGCAAAGATGGTAGTGCCCCATTAACGTATGCTCCGGCTACACAGGGTACCCCTCCCGTCCTTGTCTCCAGCTCTGGCACGCGTTTGCGTCTCAAACCGCCCGCGCCGCCTTCTGCTGAGTCGGGTCCCATGCCTGCGTCGTCATCCGGCGCTCATCACCCATTACAGCAATTACCGCCTCAGCCACATGGCGCTGTGCCCGTCGGACACCAGTATCTTCCTCGATCGGAGTCTCCCATTTCGCCGGTCGTATCGCCCCATGACGAGTATCCCCCTCCGGTGCCCAATGTTGCGTCGTTGTCGCCCCCTCAGCGACCCGGGGCCGCGCCAGGTCCCGCTCCTACCCAATCGCAAATGCAGATGACATTACGCACGTCGTCTTCGGGCAGCTTATCTACATCCTGGCCGGATGCTCAACGGCATGCAAAGCCAAAACGGCTGAAAGCGCACACGGTGCAGAGCAAGAGCTACAGCATTCCAGTTGTCCCTCGTGACAAGAAAGGTCGCCCACTTCTCCCGCTCAACGTCGGCATCATGACTCTCATGAGTCTAGGCACTGTCTGTATGCGAGAGCACTTTCATACAGAGAGATACATTTTCCCTATCGGCTATGAGGTCAATAGGTTAGTATATGCTTCCTCGCTTCGCTGTTCTCCGGTGTAGTGCCTCGTTTCTAATATCTGAGCGCTCCGTTGTTCCAGGCGTTATATGTCGATGATTGACCCAAACGCCGAAACTGTCTACTATTGTACTATCCTTGACGGCGGGGATGGGCCCAAGTTCAAGATTATCCCAGGCGATATGAATGACAAGCCAATCGTTGCAGGTACCGCGACCGGAGCGTGGGCGGTCGTTGTGCGCGCGGCGAACCAAATTCGCAATCGACAACACTCAAATTCAGTCTCCGGTCCGGACTTCTTCGGCCTCGGACAGAACACCATCAAACATCTCATTCAAGAGCTGCCACACGCACGGGACCTGAAGGATTATGTCTGGCAACACTTTGTTGAGGGCGGGTGAGCGCCTCCGTTACTCTAAAAGTTGGCCAACCGTGATGGTTGTGAAGTAACTCATCTAACCACCACAGGCCGTTAGGAGGACGCCATGCCGCAGTGATACCTGCACTACCAGACGAACAAGACGGTCAGGGACAACAATCGGGTGGAGGTTACGGCTCAGAGCGCGAAGGGGAGCAGGACCGGCCACGGGAGTTGCAGATCATACAGGTCGAGAACGAGGACCCAGGCCGTGGGCAGCCGTACTTCCCTCCGCCACCCAACGTGACGCCCATCACGTTCCAGCAGGAGTACCCGGAGTATATGCGCACTACGCGAACACGCGAACAGCCTCAACGCAGCCGCGAACGTCGTGGATCGCGCGCAAGCAACCCCGCGTACGACGAATACGCTGGTGGACATCATGTCCGCGGTGAGTCGCCCCCACCGCCTGCATCACACCACCGAACCTCGCATTCCCCTACGATATCGCGGGAGAGGGAGAGAGACTGGGACCGTGAGATGGATCGCGAGCAGCATTCGCCATCACAGCATCCCGCACACGCGTGGCATGAACACTCTCCTGCCGGGCACCATCGTGCGCCATATTCCCCGAGTCACCCGGAAGCACAACGTCGCTATATGCCAGCGTCTTCGCCACCCCCGCAAGTTCCAGCGCCATTCGCGAGCATCATGCATGCCTACCCCGCGCCCCCTGTCGCTCCTTCTGCCGTCCCGGAGGCTGAATATGTATACGCAAATGGCAACGGAGGTAGGCGGAACGGACATGCTAGCATGCAGACATTTCCTGCTGGCGAGCGCTGATACAACAGACACTCGTCCTTTTTTTTGATTATACGATGAATGGTGACGCATGAAACAACGCGGTTTGTATAAGATGTTGCGCAACGCTCTGTTACGTCTTGCTTTTGCTGTCTGTTGTGTTTTTACGGTAATGATCTCTTGGCAGCTTGTTGTCCTTGTGTAGGGACCGAGTCCCGCCTCGTAATGTCAGCGATCTTTCCAGGTTTAGGATGCGCGGTACGTTGTATGGTGTGTGCAGTTAAGCGCATACTCTTTCCAGGTTTGATTCGTACTTCCCTCCATCTTTTTATCTGCTGCCTCCAGCCGGCCCTTCTCAAGGCTGCCATGTCCGTGCGTGGTCCGACCCCAGGCACGGACGTGTGCGCTCACCTTCCGAAGGACTTGGCAGCCAGCCCCAGCGGTAGAGAAGTGGGGGGCGGGATTCCCGCCCGCACGACTCCTGCTCTGGTTGCGCGTCCGCCTGCTTGCCACGCGGACAGTGTGAGGCTAGACGAATGTTGTCGAGTGGTCTTAGACATGCCTCAGTGGGGACTCCTACCGTTGCGAGGTTTGTGCCGGAAATTGGGGTAGTATATGGGGCTCACATCTTACTTTTCGTCTTGTCTGAGATCTTGGAGCAGAAGTGCTCTGATCGCCACTTTTCCTAGGAATCGCGAAGTCGTCGCGCATTGTGACGTTCGGTGGTAGGAATTTGCGATTAAGCGAATTGTCTTAGTATGTAGACCACGGCTGTGCCGTTGCTCGCATGAAACCTGTGATATAAAACTTGGGATTTGATTCATATTGCATTCGCCAATTTTGCTGTGGCGGTAGAGTACAAGTGCAACGACTAAGCGATAAATGAATTGGATGACTCCGTTAGTGTATTGTTGTTTTGCTCTACGTTGGACGCAGTTTGTCCAAGACTCGATTGGTGCTACGGCCTTTCTGAGGTCTCATGGTTCTCCGGACTCCAGGAGACGCACAGTTCAAATAATCGCGAGCGTAATGGCTAATATTCATGGCAAGTTCGCATGGCTTCGTGTGCAGGAAATATCCGAGAAGTTATGATTGACCCACTCTCAGGCGCAGGCTCCAGATGCTGACTACGACTCGGCTGTCAAGACCTCTCCATCTCTCCTAGGGTACATATTTTCTATCGTCAGCACTACCAGGCTTCGTTTATCCAGCTTGGGAACCATGGCACGAATGTCGCTGTTCAGGCCTCTTGCTCTAGTTTTCGGAGTTCTCGACGAGCAAGCACAGCATCAAGTCTACGGATCCAATCAAGTCAGCAAGCGACGCCATAATGGCGGATTGTCATGACGCGTACGCTCTTGGTTTTAACCCAATGTCAAACTGGATTTGACTTGAAGTCGTATGTTCCTTTTGCGTCGAATACAACCATGCGGAGGCGAACGCAGTGCGCCGGTCATCCAGAGTCTCGAGAATAGACTTAAGAGGCGAGATCTGAGGAAACTGAGCATGTCAATTGACGTGATCAAGTCTGACGTTCACAGCCTCACCAAGTGCATGATCTCTTTGAAAATTCAGCGGATCAAATGGGGTAGGACCTAACCTACTGAAAGCTTATGAGAGCGGCCGTGATAGCCTGGTCATGGCGACACTCTGAAAGTTCCCAGGAAATGACAAATATCACCGTCTACAATCCCATCGATATGCCAGTGTCCAGCAGTACTGAGCAGCTGTGCGTCCACGGAATGATGCGCCATTGATACCTATGATAGGCTTCTTAGAGGACGATATATCGCGTAACTGAGGAGATAGCATAAGACCCGCGTCACTGATTGAGTGACCGAGAGCTCGTATTCACGACAAAAATGGATCTCCATGTAGTTACGGTGTGCCTCATTCCAGGCTGGCTGCCAGGATCTTGCTGATTCTCCGAGGGCTGGTGTATTCTAACGCCAGCAGACCCCGAGAATACAAGTTGGGAAGCATGTCCCAATGAAATTGCTGAACTCGTGGATGGGACGATAACTGATGAACTCCACTCGCTCTAGTTTCCGAGAATTTCGATCAGAGAGCACGGTGCCGATTCCCTCAAGCCAGTTGAGCCAGCGAGATACCATTGATGCAAAATGTTATGACACGTACGCGTCCTAATGCAGAGTGTCCCAGCCAGCCATTGAGCATTCCGTTATAGAGGTCTGGGTCAGAATGCACCGCTGCTTCAGAAGATTCCGTCTTGAGTAGTGGGGGAATTATCTTGTTCTGTCTTGGGCTCATCAGCTTGGAGAAGAATCGGCGTGCAGGGGGGTTCCTCACGCTCGCGGAGGCATCGAATGATGGAGCCACCATAATGTCTCCGACAAGGAGTGTCTTGAGGATTGAGAACGAATGGATGAGAGTTACGATGTTCTCATCCTTGGGTGAAAGGGCCTCCCCGAGCGATAGCTTCTCTACCATTGTGAACAAGTTAGCCAGCGATGATACTGTGGTGGGTGTGACGAGATAGCCCACGAGCTCTAGAGGTCGAACGCCTTGCATCCGCGGGCCGAAGTGATGTCCCTCACCACCTCGTGCTGCTGCAATTTCCATGATGCATTGCAATTGCATCCGACTCGAAATTTTATGATCAGGTCCTTGACACAGGTTCCAGCGGCTGGGGCATGCTGGATGAGGTCGCGGAAAGCGTATGTATTAGTGCGTTCAATGGATACTCCATGAAAACAATCGCGGCGGATTTCCTCGGCCCAAGATCTACAGATCAGACTGCATGCAGATAGTGATGGAGGATCTTCGTGCACCGAAGAATTTTTCATGGCCAGCTTTGGGGGAAATTTGTAGTTTGGGGCCGCCAGACACCACAGAAGAGATCAAAGACCATGGCAGCATCTCAGTCGATTCATGGGGTGGTTGGAGCCGTCGTGAGCAGGTTTTACTAATAATCGGCACCAAAGAATATATCTGAGGGAGGGTCAAGGAAATCAAGCAAGCGAAATATTTCCAATCTCATCGGTACGCAACTTGAAGCTTGAAGCTTGAGGAGTTGAAGGGGGATGTGACCTAAAATAATGATATCGACCTTGCTTATGAGTAGCGACCATCTAACACTATACGATGGCGGTGCTCCGTTATAAAAGTTCCCATGAATTGACAGATACGACTGTCTGCAACTTGAATCAACTGATCAGTCCAGCTTCAAGCATGAGAACGAAGTTTGGAACTGAGAGGCACTGGTTGGCCCATTGATAGCTGAATAGTTCGGACGGAACATCTAGGTTGACAGTTCAGTGCCTATAGCTTCGATGCTCCTTGATATTCCTAAAACACTAGCTCAACACTGAGTACTGACCATCATGATGTTTTGCATCGGCTGACCCTGCGGTTGAAGTACTGGCGATTGGTGCCCTGAGCCTCAAGCACAAGGCGCTTAACAAAACGCGATCAAGAGGATATCGGCAACAGATTCAGAACCATTACTTAGATGTCTACAAGCTCAAATCCTGAATAAATATGCACTACATTATGTCTAGACGGTTTTTGGCCTTACTGCCTAAACTTTTCCAGTATCCTGTCAATTCCCACATTAGACTCTTGCTCCATCACCAGCAGACCTCGTTTATTCAGCTTGGGAAGCATGCCCCGAGTGAAGTTGCCAAAATCATCAATGGGGCGGTAGCTGATGAACACCACTCGCTCCAGTTTGCGGAAGTCTCGATGAGCAAGCACGGCGTCGATTCCCTTGAGCCAGTTAAGCCAACGAGGGTTTCCGTTGGTGCAAAACGTTATGACGCGTACGCTCGTCGTTTTAACGGACGCCAGAAATGCAGGAATCCATGGCGGGTATTTGGACTCAGCCATTAGCGTTGCGTCGAACACCACCCTGCGGAGGCGAGTACAGTGCGCCAAATTGAACTTCACTGAAAAACCACACGTCAAGCTTGAGCAAAGCAACCACGCGGACACGGGACACACCACTCACATTCAAACTCTTGATGACTGGGGATGTTTATGATAAGGTGCTCGACAGAAGCACCTGTGCCTTGAAGAACCGAACCATACTCGTAGGCTGCAGAGTAGTGTCCCCGCCAAAAGCCCACGTGGCTACCATTGAGTACGTCGATGCAGATGTCTGCGTTGGAGCGTACCCGTTCTTCAGATGACACTGGTGCGAAGGCTGTCTGGTTCCGTGCAGCGGGGTACATTGGACCAGTCACAGAACCGTCGACCGTAGACAGCATGACATCCTTGATATTGAGCGTCTTGAGAACTGAGAAGGAACGGATGAAGCTCGCGATGTCCTCGGCCTTGGGCGAGAAGATACCCTTGAGCGACAGGTTCTCCACCGTCGTGGTCAAGCTGGCCAGCGACGCCACCGTGGTGGGTGTGACGGCGTAGCCCACGAGCTCTAGAGATCGGACGCCCTGCATCTGCGAAGTGATGTCCCTCACCACCTCGTGTTCCTGCAGCCCCCGTAGTGCACTGGAATCGTATCCAAACTTTATGGTCAGGTCTCTGACGCAGCCCCCGACGGCGGGCGCATGCCGAATGAAGTCGCGGAATGCGTGCATGTAGGTATGTTCAATGTGCACTCGACGAAAACGATCGCGGCGGATTTTTTCAGCCCAGGATCGGCATGTCAGACTGTATGCAGACATTGATGATGGGTCCATATGTGCATAATGACGGAGCACCTCGAAGACCAGTTCCGGGGACACTCTGGAGCCGGCAGAGCCCACCAGTGCCGAAGACAAAGACAAAGGGGGCACCTCAGTCGGCTCGGATTTGGGGCCAGCGGGGGTCCTGAACTTCGTCAATAGTGCCAGGAGGCGCCGAAGCCGAGCTCTGAGAAAACAGCACACGTCATTCGACATGGTCAAGGATACTTGCGGTCCCACACTGCTTGAGTTCGAGCTAGTGATAAGCCGAAAGCGAGGGGGAGCTATAATGTCGAGCTGCGGGTTTGCGGATAAATGATAGCAGCCCAGTACTGCGTTATAAAAGCTCCCATGGATTGACAGGATTTGTTATCCGGACACGTCCTGTCTTCAATCAACCAATCAATCTAGCCAGCGTCAGGTAACGAGAACAAAGGGCGTACCAGTCGAGATGTGCTCGCAACAGCCCAAGTGAGGTTGATACTGCGCATTTGAGATCTGCTTCAAAGTTGTAACCCGATTGCCAGAGAGATGACACGGTCAAGCATGTGGGGAAGACCAGAGCCAGATTTACAAGTGAACTTCGCTGGCCGTGTCTTGCAAAGTTGCTTTGCATGGCTCATGCTCGAACACTCACTCAAGTCATGGATGGAAGCAATATGATCTCAATGCCACAGCACATTTATATAGCTTTTGCGAATAGCGTACGTCGGCCGGGGTATCCAAGACGCGAGGAGGACTCCGGCGCTCATACATCATGGTGCTCGTAGTTGAACGCTCGGATGAGTGCCGGCTTGGCAGAATCCAGACAATCATTTTCCATTTTCCCCTATGCTGCCACTGCAGCTCAATCACACGTGGGACCGCTGGTCGAAGACCGGATACGAGCACGCCCAAATCCAAACGCTCCACCAAGAAAAAATATCAATCACATGTGGCTTTACATCACACAACTCATGCGCAACGTGTTTAAGACGAACTGTGGCTCCGAGAGCACGACGGGCGTGGCAGTGGTATTACGCAGAAACAAAAACGAATTCCCGGGGAAAATGTGTCCCTCCTGAAGCAACATGCGTATGCGTGTGTAGATAGAACCAGATATTAGTGAGTAGCAATGGTGGCAAAACAAGCGAACGCTACAACCGTCCATAATGGCACCAACGAAGTAGTAGAACAGGGTGAGCACGGTACACGGCGCATGCACGGCGGAGAAGCGCAAGGGGATAAACAAAGGGCAAAGGAGGATTGTATGCAGAGAACAAGGGGGCATATACAAGGCGAAGCAATGAGCTATCCAAGACGGCGTCGTCGTGTTTTTACATTATCCGTTTGGTTTGTTGACGTGGTTGAATGTACGATTCTGGGGCGCAGACCAGGCGGGGGATACAGCAAAGTGGGGTCCTACTGGCCACACGTCAATCATTGTTCCGGACGACGAGTGACAGCGAGGCTTACCAGCACAGCAAAGACCATATGCGCTCACAGGACCTGCCCGACGACCGTCTCCGCGCTGCGCGGCCTGTCCCGCAAAATCGGGCTGGGCGAGCGCGCGCCGCGGTAGCTGCTCAGGCGCTTCGATGCGAGGAACGCGGGCAGGTCCTCCTCGGCCATGCGCAGGCAGTCGATGGGGATGAGCCCGCGCGCGCCCGTCGCGAGCTTCTCTGCGTACGCCCAGCCGTCGTCGAACCGGCGGAGCATGCGCACCTGCTCGCCAGGCGTGGCGGCCATCTCGTCGCGCAGCCCCGGCGCGAACGGGCGCCGGATCGTCTCGATGCGCGCAAAGTGCGACGCGGTCTCGGTGTCCACGCTCTGAAGCGACTCCGCCGTCTGCGCATCCACATCTATCTCGGCGTCCGCAAACGGGTCCGAGGCGGTCGGCATGTCGTAGTTCTCGGCGGAGGCAGCGTCCGCGAAGGGGTTCTCCGGCGCAGTGGCGTACTCGGAGGAGAGCGTCGAGTCGGGCGAGAGCCGAATGAGGTACGAGGAGGTGCGGTTCTGCGCGAGTGTGCCCTCGTTGTCCTGCGGAGGCTTGGGGAACTGCCAGGCCTCAGAGGACGAGAACAGGTGTACGGACATGGGGGAAGGGAGGCCTGCGCTGCGGCTGTTTGTCGCGATGGAGTCGGGTATAGTGAGCCATTCTCCTGAGGACGAGCGCGTCGCAGGAGAGTCCGCGTATAGCTCGTCGCTGCTCCAACTCGTACGGTCGGGGCTA